TAAGAGTAGAATGGTTGTCTACAACATCATGTGTAAGAACAGATTAGTGTTAGTCCTCAGTCATGTCTGACTGTTTTGTGACTCCATGGACAGTAGCCCACTGGGTTCCTCTATTCATGTAATTCTCCAGGAAAGAATACAGGAATGGGTTGCCATTCCCTTCTCCAGAAGAACAGATTAGCAATCCTTAAACTCTAATACTTTGGCTACTTTATGTGAAAAACTGACTCATTGGAAAAGACCCTGGTGCTGAGATAGATTGAAGGTGGGAGGAGAAGGGAAAGACAGAGGATGAGATGGTTGGATGGTTATCACCGACTTTATGGACACGAGTTTGAGAAAGCTTCAGGAGTTGGTGATGGAGAGGGAAGCCTATCATGCTGCATCCCATGGAGTCTCAAAGAGTCAAATACAACTGAAAGACTGAATTGAACTGAAACAATCAAACATTTTGAGAGATGAGAAATCCCTAGATATCTATTCGTCGATTCAGTAGTTATGATTCTTAGGTTAAAAACTCAACCCCTAAAAGATTCCTAAGTTTCTTTGCAATGCTAATATTCTATAATTATGAGATGAGTGATAAATACTTTGAACTTCACGTTTACAGCTGAATTCCTAGCCCTCACTCCCCCAAACAGATTGATCTGCTCATTTCTCTTATTATTAGTAAACTCTACTCAAGCCAGACATTTAGAATCAACCTACCCTCCTTCTCTCCTGCCTCCTCTTCAAACTTCCAAGAAATCCTTATGTCCCTGCCTTCAAAACATGCCCTGAATCTGAGCCCTTCTCATCACCTCCACTGGTAGCATCTTGGTCAAACTACTAACATTTTTGCCAAAAATATTGCAAAATCCTTCAAATTGGTCTACACATTTATTCCTCTATAGTTTATTTTCAATGTATCAGTTGCTATTGTTGTTTACAAAAATAAGAAAGGAATTCACATAACTCTTGTTCTTAAAAAAAAAAAACCTACAAATTTACTCATTTATTTTAAGTTAAAGTCAAAGTCTGTGCAGTGGCTCTAATTTCCTTCACAAACAGGCCCTCCATTACCTACAGATCCTTACCATCTAAGACTCACTCCTCCTTTATATATGTTTCAACCTCATTAGACTTTCTCAGTTTCTTAAGAATAGCAGCCCCAGCTCAGCATCAGATAAATTGGATCTATCTGTTTCCCGGTGTGAACATTATTCCCCAGATATTTGCAAGACTCACACTCTCTTCTCCTTTAAGTTTCTATCAAATGACACTTTCTGGCATTTCTGCCCATCCTCTTCAATCTGTTTTAAATTTTATATCCCCTTCACACCAAAAATCCCCATCCTTCTTATTCTGCTCAGATCCTGCTCTTTTTACCCAGACATAGATTCTGAGGCTGGGAAAGATTGAAAGCCAAAAGGAGAAGGGGACAGCAGAGGTTGAAATGGTTAAATGGCATCATTGACTCAATGGACATGGATTTGAGGAAACTCTAGGAGATAGTGGAAGACATGGGAGTCTGGAGTGCTGCATCCACGAGGTCACTTACAGTTAGAGTCAATCAGTGACTGGACAACAACTGCAATCCTCCCCTTTTGCTTAAGTTTATTGTCTGTCTTTCTCCATGAGAATGTAACAACACAGGTCAAAAAGACTTTTCTGTTTTGTTTACTGCTGTATTCCAAAGTATAGAACAGTTCTTGGCATTTAATTGTCACTTAATAAATATTTCTAAAATTAATTAATGGGTAATTATCTTTATAATGTGAAGATGTATCCTTTCTAACCTTGCTCAAACTCCCCAGGACACATCTTCCCTCAAGTGGTCAGTGTATTATGTCACTAATGAAAAGGAAGAGTAATTAAAGAGAAGATTCATAACCACCAAGATGGACTGAAATAATTTCTGAATTTGAGATGAATTGCAACTAAAGAGTGAATAAAATAAGCAACAAAGAAAATATCAGAGCCAGTCCTGTTGAGTCTCCCATATAAAAGGACTTCTCAGGTCATGTGATCCCTGAAGCTGCTCTGTCCCTTTCTCCCTTCACTGGAGCACTTAAAATTTGAGGGAAGACTGCATCCTCCTAGCACCAGAAAATGAGGACCAAGAAGGAAAATATCACACACTAGCCATTTGAACAGCACAGCATTATTAGAACCAGTAGAGTCAAAAAAGCATGTCTTTTTTTGCCCTCTTATTTTCTCTACTGTGTACATGAATATATGAAGACCCAGCATAGTTACCAGACTGAATTAGAACTCTAAATGAGGGTTGCATATAACATGAATGAAATTCAAGTTAGAAGATGTGTGTGTGTGTGTGTGTGTGGGGTGTGTTTGACATAAGAATGAGCTTTTGAGAGCCAGACTAGACTCTCTGAGGTCATAGAAAAGCCAGACCACTTAGCCACCCCTGACCCTAGTTGCTTACCCTTGATCAGGACAGACACTCCTGGAAGTGACACCCTTTGCCCTCTCCTCTGATGTTTTAGCGAGCTTTGTTAGATATAAGTGTTTCCTCAATAATCCTTTGGGGGCCTCTTCTACAGAGAAGCCCAAAAATGTGTGCCTCCCTCTCCAAAGACACAATTAGAGCTCATTTGGAGCTGGGGATAGCATATTAATTAGTATATGATGAAATGAGGAGTATTTTATTAAAAGCCCACTCTCAAAATGAATATGTCAAATGCAATCATACCTGTGGGTAATTGTGTGTGTGGGCTCCCCAGGTGGCACTAGTGCTAAAGAATGTGCCTGCCAATGCAGGAGACTTAAGAGATGTGGTTTCAGTCCCTGAGTTGGGAAGATTCCCTGGAGAGGGGCATGGCAACCGACAGTATTCTTGCCTGGAGCATCACATGGACATAGGGCTGCAGAGTTGGATATGACTGAAGTGACTTAGCACACACAGCATGTGTGTGATAACCAAAATTCTCCAAATTGTACTAATTGGACTTTTCTAGTCCATATTATTTTGTGATTCATAGTGTTTTTTCCCTCTCCCGTGTTTCACTATCTGTCCAGGCTACACTTCCTTGTCTCATTCATCAGGAAACACTATCCATTCTTGGTGCCATGGATTGAATCACAACCCTCTAAAATTCATATATTGAAGATGTAACCTCCAGTAATTTCAAATGTGTCTGTATTTGGAGATAGAGATTTCATAAAGGAAATTCAGTTAAAATGAGATGGTTAGAATGAACCTTAATGCAATCTGACTGGTATCTTTATAAAAACAAACAAAAATGGAAACAGAAAAAGAGATACCAGGGATGCTTTTGCACACACACACACACACACACACACACACACACACACACGCAAAGATCCATGTGAGGACAAAGTAAGAAAGTGAGCATGTGCCATCAAAGGAAAAAGACATCAGAACAAAGCAACCATGCTGGCTTATTGATCCTGGCCTTTCAGCGTCCAGAGCTGTGAGAAATACATTTCAATTGTTTATGACATTCAGTCTCTGGTATTTTGATATGGCAGCCCTAACAAACTCTAAATTCTCTCTTGAATGTAAAGTTTTTGAAATATTTTTACCTTTCTAATTATCTATTTCTATTTCCTTCTCCATTTCTGTCTGTTTCATACAACATCTCTCCCATGGCCCTTCACTCTTTTATTTTTTTGGAAAAATATTATTTTATTGGAAGCTTGCCACAACTCTAAATATAGTCATTCTTTCTTATATATGCCATCAAGGAAATCTTTGCAACACAGCAAGAAAAAATATAAAAATCAGAAAAGAAAAATAAATTTATTTTGAATGACATTTTATAGTAGATATTGTACTTATGAACTCCCAACTAGCACTAACTCATAACAAATGAATAAGTACCTCTGGAATAAAGAAATCTGTGTTTGCATTCTTTTTTCATTACCTATGATCTGATTGCAACCAAGAGATTTCAACTGTCTAATCATGACAGTGATTGCATAGCCAATATTATTCTATATTAGAGATTATAGTATTATACTTCCAATTAATGAATAAGCTGTCAATTGAAATGGAAAAAAAAAAAAAAACTTCTGAGCATCCCAGTAATACTATAAACTCTGTTCTGAGCTAGCATGCCTAGTACTTTTTTCCAATTAGCCCAGACTGATTTATTTTAAAAGATATTCAAGAACATCAGTCAGTTCAGTTCAGTTGCTCAGTTGTGTCCAACTCTTTGCAACTCCCTGAACTGCAACACACCAGGCCTCCCTGTCCATCACCAACTCCCAAACCCATGTCCACTGAGTCGGTGATGCCATCCAATCATCTCATTCTCTGTTGTCCCCTTCTCCTTGTGCCCTCAATCTTTCCCAGCATTAAGGACTTTTCAAATGAGTCAACTCTTTGCATCAGGTAGCCAAAATATTGGACTTTCAGCTTCAGCATCAGTCCCTCCAATGAACACCCAGGCCTGATCTGCTTTAGGATGGACTGGCTGGATCTCCTTGCAGTCCAAGGGACTCTCAAGAGTCTTCTCCAACACCACAGTTCAAAAGCATCAATTCTTCAGTGCTCAGCTTTCTTTATAGTCCAATTCTCACATCCATATATGACTACTGGAAAAACCATAGCCTTGACTAGACAGACCTTTGTTGAGAAAGTAATGTCTTTACTTTTTAATACTTTGTTTAGCTTGGTCATGACTTTCCTTCCAAGAACATCAGTGCCAAGTTAAAAAGACAAATTCAGGCTGGTATTTCTACATTATTCAGTGATTTTATCTTTTGCTTAATTTATTTATTTCTGAGATTTATAGGCTGTTATCAATAGCATAGAAACTAATCTTCAAAAACCAATACAAGCAAAACAAACAAACAAATAAAAATATACTCTTTACCAAAGCCTTTGCTAAAGAAACTTTGCTCTATCTAACATTTTCCTCAAGACTTCTTTAACATCTTTATTTCTTAAGCTATGGGTCAAGGGATTCAACCAGGGAATCACCACTGTGTAGAACATGGACACCACTTTATCTCTCTCAGGGCATAGCTCATACTTGGCCCAGTGTAAATTAAGAGAATTGACCCATAGTACAAGGTGACAGCTGTCAGGTGAAAACCACAGCTGGAGAAGGCCTTCGAGCAGCCTTGGGTGGAGTGGATCTTCAAGATGGCAGCAATGATGAAGAGATAGGAGGCAAGGATAAGCATGGTGGGATTGATGATGTTGAAGGCAAGTATGAAATACAGGACAACTTGGTAGCTTTCGTTCACATCACAGGCCGACTTGACAAGGGGGGACAGGTCACAAAAGAAATCATCAATGACATTGTTCCCACAGAAGCTCAAGGTAAATGTTTCACTGGTGATGGCTTTCACAAAGCCACTAGAGTAGGAAGCTGCACTAAGACTGACCCATAACCTTGGGGACATGGCCTGGGAATAAAGCAACATGTTAGACATGGCCACATAGCAGTCATAAGCCATGGCAGCCAACAGGTAGCACTCACTGTAGGCCTGTCCAGTGGAGAAGAAGAACTGGGTTAAGCAGCCAGCAAAAGAGATGTGCTTGTCATGCAGAGATGCAGGTCATCAGGATTTTGGGGACATAGATGGAAGCATACCAGAGATCCAGGAATGAAAGATTCCCAATGAAGAAAATACATGGATGTGTGGAGTTGAGAATCAGCACAGATCAGGGAAATCAGGGTGATGTTCATTAAAAGACTGCTGATATAGATGATGAGGAAGATATAAAAGAGAACTCTCTGTAACTATGGGTCTGTCATAAATCCTAAAGGTATGAACTCCTTCACCATGGTATATATATATTTTTATCCACTGAGTTTGAGTTTTTTTTTATTTCTTTCTGTAAAAAATTGATTAATATGTCATGATTTAAGGTATTGATGTTATCAGCTTCCCCATTATATGTCATTTTAGATTGTTTAAATACTCAACTGATGCATATATCATGTTTAAAAAAAAAGTTTATGCTGAACTGGAAATTATTCATGTTAGAAAACTTTGAAATTTCTCTATGCTGCCTTAAAAGATCATATTATGAACATAATATAGTTTGCCACCATACATTTTAACCTAATTATCCTCCTTTTGAGAGATGGTGATTTGTTCATCTTCTTTTCTGTTTGCAGCTAGACTGATTGGGAATCATGTAGAAGACATGAAAGGGAGTTTGCTTTTGAGTTCTTAAATCCTTTGTCTATACTAGTGAATTACCTGAAGAAGCATACTTTTATTAGTCTAGCCACACATTGAAATAACCTTGGAAGTGCATTTATACTAATTTCTTTGAAGGCAATACTTATATTTTATTTAACTTTTTACCACAAAATCAAGAACACAGCTAAAAATAAAGTAAAAAAAAAAGATAATAAAATGTATAATTTGAATAATACAGTAGGTTTACTTAGCAGGAATTTGAGACCATATCTATGTATGTATGACATTCAAATGTATGCTGAAAGGAAGTGAAAATATTAATCAATGGATAATTGTGTTCAAAATGTGTATTAATTTCCTATAGAAATAAGAATTAAAAACAAAAAACTAAACATCAAACTGAATGATTTGGGGGAATGTGGTAGGCAGAATATGGCCCATTAAGATGTTCAAGTTCTTTTTCTTAAAGTTGAAGTTTAGTAGATTGACATCATTACATTAATTTCAGGTGTACAGCATAATGATTTAGCATTTTTACAGATTATACTCTATTAAAAGCTATTACATGATACTTGCTGTGATTCTCTGTGCTATATGTTGCATCTTTGTTGCCTATCTGTTTTACACATAATATTTGTAGCTCTTAATCCCGTATCCCTCATTTGTCACTTTACCTTCATTTCCCCATTGGTAGCCACTAGTTTGTTTCTTGTAGCTGTAAGTCTATTTCTGTTTTGCATATATATTCATCTGTATTACTTTTAAAATTCTAAATATGTGATGTCATTCAGCATTTGTCTTTATCTTACTTCACTTAGTATTTTCTAGATTAATCTACATTGTTGTAAATGGCAGAATTTCATTAATTTTTGTAGCTAGCAACATTATGTTGTGTACATGCATATATTACATCTTTACCCATTCATCTGTTGATGGACAATTGCATTGCTTCCATATCTTGTCTTTTGTAGATAGTGCTGCTGGGAACATGGGGATGCATGTATATTTTCAAATTAGTGTTTTACCAATTCCTGGTATATGTGGATATACTTTATGGGGAAAGGGTCATTAAGTTAAAAATTAAGAATTTTTAAATAGAAGGTTATCAGGGTGGGCCCTAAATCCAACCAGAAATATCCTTATAGAAAGGAGGTAGAGGAAGGTTTGACTACAGACCCCAGAGAAGGAACAGTGTGACCAGAGAAGCAGAGTTCAGAGTGATACAACTACAGGGAATGCCAGCAACCTCAGAAAGCCTGAGACAAGACAGAGATGTTCCACTAGAGCCTCTGGTTGGATCGTGACCCTGATTTTAACCCATTGCCATTGAGTTCTGAGTTCCAGAACTATAAGAGAATAAATTTTTGATGCTTTAGGTCACCAAATTTATGATAATTTAATACATGAAGTTATGAAATTCAACCTCTAATAATCTTGTTTCCTTCAAAAGTAGAAGCATTGCTGTCACCAGCAATAGGGGAAGAACCATCTTGGCTTGTTTATGGTGCAACTTGCAAGAACCATAACACCACATAGCACAATCAAAAGAGGGCTAAATTATGATTTTCAGGGTTCTGAACAGGCATGGATATATTTCTGCTATTAAATCCAAGACTTTCAAACCCTCTTATGTCCGAGAAAAAGTAATATATATGTATATTTTTAGGTGACGAGTGCGTGCGTGTGTGTGCATGCATGTGTGTACTCAGTTGCATTTGACTTTTTGACCCCCTGTAGTGTAGTCTTCCAGGCTTCTCTGTCCATGGAATTTCACAGGCAAAATTACTGGAATGGGTTGCCATCTCCTTCTCCAGGGGATCTTCCTGACCCAAGGATGGAAACTGCATCTCTTACATCTCCTGAATTGGCAGGCAGATTCTTTACCACTGCACCACCTGGGAAGCTTTAGGTGATGGACTTAAGCTAAAGAAGTATAAATAATTGCTCTCTTGGAACTGCATCTTTTTAATAAATGGAATCAATAATTTTTAATTTAAAGAAAACTTAATGCTACATTTATTATCAAAGTAGAATTTATTCAGAATAAGCAAATGAAGATTCTCTTAGAATTTCAAGAGCTATGACCCTTTTTAACAAAGCATATTCCTGGAACCTGCTTAAGATCAAGAATCAAGAAATCTGGATTCTGATCTGAGTTGGTTGTCACTATTTTAAATAAAATGATAACCTCTAAAACTTTATTTTCTCACTTACCTTCCTCAATTCAGTGAGACTTCAGTGAAAGTGTTAGTCACTCAGTCGTGTCTAACTCTTTGGGACCCCATGGACTATAGACTGCCAGGCTCCTCTGTCGACGGAATTCTCCAGGCAGGAATACTGGTGTGTGTTGTCAAGCCCCCCTCCAGGGGATCTTCCAAACCCAGGGATCAAACCTTCATCTTCTGCATTGCAGGCAGATTCTTTACCACTGAGTTACCAGGGAAGTTCTCATAATATATTACATAGTAGTCTTATATACAAAGACACACAAAAGAGAGATTTTTTGAGGTACCCTTACTTGACATTCATTCTTAGACTTAAAGCTGGCTGCATGCCTTGTTAGAAGGGACACTCAGAAACTTTCTTCCCAAGGAATATCTCTCCTCATCTCTCAAACATCTCTCATTATCAGGAGACCCATTTAAGAGGTAGATGGTTCTGGGGGTGGTTATCCAAAAGAAGCTGAGGTCTTTGTCATCTCCCAGTCCTCTCCACAGTTAATGTGTTTGCCATCTGTGTCATTCAGTTTGATGCTTTAATCAGCTAATTCTTGAGTTATAATTATAATAGTATAATATGATCCCAAAGAAATGTCTAAATATATTCATCTCTATCTATCTATCTATATATATATATTTATAAATCTCAGATGTTAAAAAAAGTGAAATATATATAGAACTATAAGTATAGATAGATATATTATATATGGAAATAGATACAAATATAGCCAAAGATATAGATATACATAGAGCTAGTTTGATAGACATATAAAATTTTGCTCTTTCTCTTAAGCAGCTTCTATCCCATGAACTTCACAACAGAAGTTGTGAAGAAAAAGAAGCATTTCAAAGTCATGAAAATATTGACCAATATAAGTATTTCTATATTCTTACCAACATTAACCCAAAATCCCTGCAGATTGTGATTCCATCCATGAAATTAAAAGATGTTTACTCCTTGGAAGGAAAGTTATGACCAACCTAGACAGCATATTAAAAAGCAGAGATATTACTTTCCCAACAAAGGTCTGTCTAGTCAAGGCTATGGTTTTCCCAGTAGTTATGTATGGATGTGAGGGTTGGACTATAAACGAAGCTGAATGCAGAAGAATTGATGCTTTTGAACTGTGGTTCTGGAGAAGACTCTTGAGAGTCCCTTGGACTGCAAGGAGATCTAACCAGTCCATCCTAAAGCAGATCAGGCCTGGGTGTTCATTGGGAGGGCTGATTTTGAAGCTGAAACTCCAATACTTTGGCCATATGATGCAAAGAGCTGACTCATTTGAAAAGATCCTGATGTTGGGAAAGATTGAGGGCAGGAGGAAAAGGGGACAGCGGAGGATGAAATGGTTGGAAGGCATCACCAACTCAGTGGACATGGGTATGGGTAGGCTCTGGGAGTTTGTGGTGGACAGGGAGGCCTGGCATGCTGTGGTTCTTGGGGTTGCAGAGTCGGACACGACTGAGCAACTGAACTGAACTGAACCAACATTAAGGATGGATCAGCTTACTACAAGATAAAAGGAGACATTGGGCCACATAGAACTATAAGCAACTATTCAGGGTTTATGAGAATGAAAACATCCATCAAGTACACATCTAATTATCTGTTTCACTGAAAAGGAGATCAAGAATGAAAGAAAAGACATTTGAAGGCATTTCAGTCTGCCTGCAGTGTGGGAGACCCGGCTTTGATTCCTGGGTCAGGAAGATCCCCTGGAGAAGGAAATGACAACCCACTCCAGTATTCTTGCCTGTAAAATCCCACGGATGGAGGTGCCTGGCAGGGTCGAGTCCATGGGATTGCAAAGAGTTGAACACAACTGAGCGACTTCACTTCTTTCTTTCAGCTTTCTTCATTAACTATAACTATAGGAAAGAAAACCTTACTGTATTTCATGAATTGGAATTATATTATGATTTAATTATATTGAAAATTGTTTTGTTTTTGCCCATATGGTGATTTACTGACCTTTTTTGTCGGGTCAATTCAACAAAGTACTTGCTTTATGAATTATAAATAGTTTCTTCATTTGAATTTCAACTAAAGCCCAAACTTTTTCAGATTACCTTAGAATAAAAAGTGCCTTCTAGTCACTCCACTGGAATCCTGTT